ACATTCCATAGATGAAGGTAGGAAACGTTTCGTAAAAAATCCCCCAGAAAACACGAACCACACGATACTCCCAAGACATCCAGCAACTAGAGAAAGGGAAGGCCAGCAATTCGCTGGACTGCAGCCATCACGCTCTAGGATCCCGTTCAAAAATGGAAACGCTGGCTGAAACCTGCATGGCAGCTCGAACCTCGATCTCACGCTGGAATCACAAGCTTCTTTTCCGACTCCGGCGAGAAGATAGATCCGACATCGCGCCCCCTTTTCTCCCTGGATTTTCTCTCGAGGAATTTAAGTCATTTGTATGTATTTTCTTCCCTTTTCAGTCTCTTGTGGAGGCTCGGCTCGGCTCCTCCGTCCCTTTCAGCACTGTGGGGATACAATGTAGCTAAACGGCGGCGTGAAGCGCCGCGAAATCCAGGAGAAGAATCCGTGTGGATTGGAGGAGGGTGAGCGCTAAGAGGCGGAAACTGGACTTCACCGCTCCGCGCCTCCTCCAACCTTGGGCTTCCTCCAGTACACACCGCACGGCCATTCGAATGAATAGTAAACCAACCCCTCTCTGAAATGTGTCGTTGGATATTATGGGCTGGGTTCAATATCAATGCATCTCATTATATCAAGGCTGCTTGGTGTGAAGAAAAAGAAGTGATCTTTTTTAGGAGTGATCCATTTTCTCCTTTCAAGCCTTGAGTGCGCGCCTCATTTCTGGGGTTTGGTATCCCAGTGGCTGCATTGATGTTGCTTTGGCTTATTCATTACATCACATTTAACAAAGATGTGACTGGAGGTTTTCAATCTAAATGGATTTATGACATTTAGAGCCAGTTTCCCAGACATTAAGAGTGTACGTTCTTTAAAAAAGATGGTTCTTTAAGGGTTCTTTAGTAAAGAAAGTGGTCTATATAGAGCCATTTCATGCTTAAATGATTCTTTGCATGGTGAAATGGTTCTTCAGATTGATGGAGAATGTGTTGTATATAGTTCTAGATAGAATCTTTCTGAAAATGGTTTTATATGGCACTAAAAAGGGTTCTGCTACTGGTACAATATCAAGCTTGTAACAATAGAAGAACCTTTTTGATGTTACATAGAACCATCTTCAAAACGGTTCTATATATAGAAACATACATAACACATTCTCTGTCGATCTGAAGAGCTTTCCACCATGCAAGGAACCATTTAGGCACAGAAATGGTTCTATGTAAAACTGATGCTTATAAATAGAACCTTTCCCTTTACTAAAGAACCATTTTTAAAGGGCTTAGACCTAATCTGTTTCTGGGGAACCAGCCCCAAAAGTAATGTATGTCTTGAAATGTCAAGACAGTGGTGGCACAAAAAACTATGGATCATATAATTTGACTGATTAAATTATTTCATATTTTGAAGAACGTAATTTATTATATCTACATTTCAAGTAGATATCAATATTCAATTTTTATTCAATAGATATTCAATTTTTGATAGAAAACCTTTAAAAAAAGGTAAAATCTGTGGGTCATAAAAGACCTCAGATAACACCTTTCTTCTCTCCACTATGACTTCATTTGATCACCCCAGTCAAATTACATTTTGTTGGCTTTCAAAGTGAAACACAGCAATTTTCTGCATATTTTCAAGCACAATTTCTATGTATTTGCTGAACGTAACATAAATATACAATATAAAATATAAAAATTGGTGTAACGTTTGCACTTTCCACATTTTATGTTTTTTTTTTTCTCCCTAATATATCAAATTCAGCATATAAACAGTAATTATGCCTTAAAGTGTGCAGAAACGTGTTCCCTGTAGATGATGTTAACAAAAACGCTGTTTGACCAGGGGAGCCCAAACTTTCACACACGACTCTATGTTCTTCAGGACGCTGTGAATCAAAATAGGTTTTATTGAAGAAAAAAAAGTACTGGGTTGAGAACACCAGCTGCCAATTTCTTGTGAAGTGGCACAATTTTATCTTTACCATTCGATAAATTAGATTATTTATCAACCTGCAACTAAAAGAACTCTCAGTAATGCTACTGTAAACCGGCTCTTCTGAAACACCTCAGGAGTGGAAATAAAGAAGATTTGAAAGGAAATTTGTGTCAGTCTAACACAACACTTGACATATGGTCCCATAGATAACCTTGGCTGTGCCAAGCAAGTTGACAAAAAAGGCATTTTTTCTGTTCTGGTTTCCCTGGAAACTAGGATATGATAATGTTGCCTTTGAGTCAAGAGAAAGGAATCATCTCGGTAACACACGGAGACAGCGGGCTTGGGCTGGCTTGAGCGACCAAGAGGCTTGTTTTCCCACAGAGATCTCCAGCAAGCCTGAGACCTTTTCACATGCATGAGGAGAATCAGGTTGATAGCAGGAACACCCCTAAAATCACAGCTGACTGATGGCCAACAGAGCAGCCTTAAGGCAGCAGATCCTTTTCTATCACATTCAAATCAGTCAGGGCCTCTTTGGTGTGCTATGTTGACAGGGAGTTCATTCTAAAAACTCATAATAAACTTTTCTCAGAAATACATTTGGATTTTGCCCAAATCTAAAAGTAGATCAGTCTATTACTCCAACTTAAATGGCCCTACTTACTCACCTCTGCTTGCTCAGCAAGAAGCTAATGGCTACCCTCAGCCATTAGGTGCAAAATAAGCCACCCAGCAGGACCTACAGGAGCTTAACCATGAATGAGACTGTCAATGTTTTAGATTTGTGAGGAGCAGAGAAACTAAGAGAGCTTTCAATTGAGATTCACATCTTTGTGACCAAGCTTAGGCTTGACCGAGTCATGGAGTAAAGGCAGATGTGCTGAACTTAAATCTGTAAAATGGATATTAAAAAAACATAGGCCAGGTGTTTAAAAGATCTCCTGACGATGGGTCTAAACGTAGTCTGGATTAAATTTCAATGGAAAGGAGACTGACATTTATTGCCTATAACACTGCCTGAGGGGTCCACAGGTTGGGTGCGAAAAATGAAGAGTTATGCGCTTGATGGAAGTAATCAGCTCAGGTCAGAGCCAAATCTTTGCTGGACATTTAAAGGACCTGAACCATCTACTACAATCTGTTTTTTCTCAATAAGCTGCTGTATCCGTTCCTTGAATCTTCAACCAACATGAGAACAAAAGACACATTAAACTCCTCCTGTAGGTCTGCCGACGGTAGAGGTTATTCTCTTTACACTCGGGCGGTCTGCCTGGCAGCCTCTTGTCTACAGCCACAGGTATGCTCATTTGGACTCACTTTTATTCAGGGTTAACAGACTGAAGCATGTTGAGCAGCAGGCGCGAGGGGGGAAATGCCTGCAAGGGAACTGCTGACTAAGAACAGGAAGACCTGCCGCTGCTATTTCATCCACAGCCTCGACCTTTCTTTAACTGCCGCCTCATTCAGATGCAAAAAGCAGGCCTTTTCATGAGCTAGTTAGATCCTTCACGCGGTTGAATCGCGCATTTAATGGCCTGTGCTGTTTGTTTAAACAAGCAGAAGAATGCGTTGAATTAAAAAAAAAAAAAAGTTGCATTTGATTTAAAGCCTGGCCTGAGTATCTGATGACTAGATGTAAGAAAGTGCACCCACAGGACTTGGCGTTGGTGTCAACGGCACTGTGGAACAGAATTTTGCAAGCTCCAAACATTCTGCGTCTGTAAACTCAAGCACGCATCTGTAAAAAGGTCTTTTGTGTTGGAACACAAAGAAGTGTTCCTGCACTCTGCAGGTGGTTGGTGGTGATGACTGGGGTCTGATTAGGTGGTCTCTGGCTTAAGGCAAGGGAGGGTTTTCTCCTCATTAATCCGAACCTTAAGCAGAATTCAGGTTTTGTAACAGGTAATGGCATAAATGCATGATTAAGCTCTTTTATCACTTGACACCCACTGTACTGTTACTCAACTTAATTATTTGTTGGTATTTATTTCTTGATTTTATTAGTATTTATTGATAAATGCTGACTGATATGTTGTCCAGCATTATACAGTCAGCATAGCACACTCATAAAAGAAAAGGTGCCACAAGGTTCGTTGACTGAGGGAATCTCTTTTGATTCCATGTTTGAAAAATGAAGGGAAGAGCCTTTTAAAGGTTTAACGAACCGTCTTATAGGTTCTATACCAATTTAGGTTCTTCCCAAAACCTTTGGCGCGATGTCTTAACCACTTCTGGCTCCCTTCAAAATCTTTCACTTGATGGAAACATTTCTGTAAATGAGACAAGTCGGTGTGAAGTAAAGAACCTCCACATAATGAAGGTTCTGTACCAATTTTGGGGTTCTTCCAACATTATGTGGAGGTCCTTTGCCTGGAAAAGGTTCCTCACAGCCAAACGTCTGTCCCGGACATGTGGTCTGTTCATTTCAAACACAAGATGTAACATTTTAGTGTACTCCTTATTTATCATTGCTAACTACTGATTAATTTACCATGTTATTTTCCGCTAAGAAGAAAACCTACGTTGTTGATTTCTAGATAATAAATTGGAAAACAAAACAACAGATGTTAAATCTGATCGTTTATTAGAGGAATGACTGTAGACATTCTGCCACTTTGTACTGCATGGATGTAGTAGGCGAGGAAAGACGTTATACAAGAAAACCTTAATTATTGATGCTCTCGTGGCTCAAGGGGGAAAAAAATCACCCACAGCTCGCGCTTTTGTGCCATTGTTCCAATCGCAAAGCTGGCCATTACCGGGAGTCATTTGGCACAGTTGTTTGCTCTTTCTGGCGTGGAGATGCTTGTGTCACGAAGAGGCTCCTCAATCACTTTAAGGGGAGCTTGTCCAAAACCTGAGTGTCTCTGCCTCTGACAGCCATTGTGGTCCAAATCACAAGGGCAGCTCCAATATGGCTCTGCGGCACAATCAGGTCTTTAGAAAGCAGGACATTCCATGCTCAGTCAAGCGGCTCCCGTTCAGTGAAATCTGCTGAGAAATTCAGCTTTTATGGGGTTGTTCAGTCAGAAATAAGGTGAGAAATTGTCTAAATAACTACACGGAAATCTCTGAAATCAATGAATTTGGTGTGTTTTAATCTACAATTTCTCTCATGTGTAAACAAGCACAAATGTTTTATTGCAGAAAAAATGCAATTTAGCGCAACAGAATTATGGAATAAAGGCAGAAATCTCTGGTAGGTTTCTGGTTAGAGGTTTATGACTGTCACTATGTCCCGTGAGAAGCAGTGTTCCATGTTGAATCTCACTGCAGCGTGACATGGCCGGCATAAGGCATCCATTGGCTGGAAACTCTGTTCCTCTAGCCTCTTGCCCCACACTGCTTTGTTGAGGTCAGGCTGGCTGCATTAACCCCTTCTTGGCACTTTGGTGAATCTGACTCTCCAGCTTCCCTGCGTGAGAGAATGTGTGAGACAGGCGGAGGTTAGTGATGGTTCAAGGCTCAGCAACCTTTTCAAAGCTCAGTGTGTCAACATAAAAAGCTTCCCATCCACAGATGGCTATGTATAGCAAGGAGGATCACGAACCTTCCAAATCAAACAATCCTGAGTCGGTTGTCAACAATGTTTGATGGACGAATGAATTGTAACCAAATCAACAAAGCTAAGTATAAAAGATTAAAGGGTTCCCACGTCATAATCAAATTTGCTAAATAACTAGTACACCAATATAAAATCTAGCTAAAGGTTCTTACTTGACTTTGATGTAAGCAGACAAGAAATTGGGTTTACCCAAATCTACAGTACTGTGCAAAAGTCAGAGACCATCCTTTTGTTTATTTAATTTCCAGTCAAAACGGCCATTGAGTTCAAGCTATTCATTTGTCAGGAGATATTTCTGAGAAGATTAGACATAAAACAATCCACCTGCATATGAGGAAAGTCAAAGAACAAAAACTTGTTAAAAAAAATGTTAAAAGAAATAGAGAAAATAAGACTCGACAAATATGCAAGTCCTGGTAGACCAACAAAACTGTCACAGATAAACAGTACTTAAATCTTTAATCTTTAAGAGGTTTCATCTTTCTTAAGATCTGAAGAAAAATCAACAAGTGTCCATCCCTCCACTGTAACAAGACAACTCAACACGATGGGTCTGAACAGATGTGTGGCTGTCAAGAAGCTGTTACTGAGAAAAGCAAAAAAACAAACAGAAGAAAATGTGCAAATCAAAACAAAGTAGCTGCTGGTGTTCTCAGTACAATGGACTGACCACCCCAGAGCCCAAATCTCAATATCACTGAATATGTTTGAATTTACAACCAACTTCTAAGACTGAACTTTGGAGCTGTGGAAAAATATGCCTGAAGATTTCTTAGAAAAACTAAAAAACTCCCAAAGTTTCTTGAAAGAATGAAAGCTGTAATAAAGACAACGGTGGATACATCACATACTGAAAAATGTTAATATTATATTCAGGTTTTGAGGCTTCTGTGTATTTTTTTGGCAAATATATCACTGCTGTCGGAAGAAAACCTTGTATCTCCATTTTTGTTTTTCAGTTTTTGACATTATTTGAAAATACCCATTGTCCTTTACATTGTACGTAAATTTCATGATGAACGGACCAAAAGAAATGACCCAAAACGACTTGGAAAAAAGTCAAGGTTCCACTGACTTACATTAAAAGCAAAGTAGGTTGTCATTTTGGAGATACAAGGCTTTTATCGACAATGGTGATATGTTTTCTGCTTTTTTCTTGACGCTAAAAATTAGCTTGTACATGGTGGCGGTTTTGTCTGGAAATGAAATAAATGAAGGGTGGTCTCTGACTTTTGAACAGTACTGTAGATCGCATGGTGGCATCACCAAGAATATAGCAATCATTTTTGATGTATTCGGAAAACATAGATGCATCATTGATGTATCTGCCCAAATGGCCAAAGTACAATGGTTTATATAGTCGATTCTTTAGGCATACTTTAAAAACACATGACCAAAGTATGTACACTCAAGTAGACACAGTACCTAAACTCTCGACAATACGTGTGCAAGAAATTCTCCATCAGTCAAACGCCAGCAGCCTGGGAAACTAATTTTTTGCTGACAGAGAAACATAAGATGCTATTACTGGGCTGATTGATCCCAGCGACAGATAAAGAGTTCCAATTTCCCAATATCCAACTGTGCCAAACAAACAAGCTCTCCATATGTTTACTTACACCTATCAAATCCTGAAATGCAATTAACCGCAAAAGCACTGAGTTGTTATCTAGCTGTTAACCTTAAGGACCCTGGAGGCATTTCTGCTCCAGAGCACAAAGGCCAGCTAATGTGATCCGTGCTGGGATCCTCAGATGTCGTCAGGCAGCCAGCTTCAACCGAGCGAGCCGTCTGGCCCTGCAGGGTCTGCGCGCCTTGGAAAGCTGCATAATGGTGGCCCGGAGCAGCCTGCGCCATCGCTTCGACAGCCTTTATCTTTCGGACTGTGGGAACTGAATCAATAACAAGGGTTATGAGGCTGATCTAGCCAGCATCAGCACCTCTATTCCGGAGCGGCAGACTCTCAATTCCACCTTCAATTTACATTGGCTGCCTTGGCAGAAAGGAGAGGAGCTCGGCGAGCGGGCGCTCAATTTACGGCTAACGCATCCAGCCACCTCTGGCTTCAAACGAACGGTTAGCTCTGACGACAGTGATTAGCCGGTCAAGGCTGGAGTCTGAGAGCATGATGTAAGTTAAATGCAGCAGTGCTCATCAGTTGTTTTCTTTTTATCTGTCTCATCTCATTAAGGCTGAGCTCGGTGCTTCTGGCGAAGAGAACGTAAACAAGCTGTCTGCGAGCACTTTCCTCCGACCATTCCGTCACGATTTTCAAAGCACGCTGGCAAGACACAGCACAGCCTTCTGAGGAGAGAAACTCATGCTGCCAGACATGACAGGATAAATCAGATATGTTTGCAGAGCAAACAAATCAGGAGGGCGCGTTCAAGGAATCTGTCTTTCCAGATGCACGCGGCCTTCATAGAAGCAACTGTAAAAGAAAGCAAAACAGAGCATCCCCTACTTGGTGCTGAGCCAAGCCTGAGCAAAGACAATTCTTTTCCATTTGGCTCAAGCCTGTGTACTCGGGAAGAGATATAAGACAACGCCGGTGGATGCAATAAACATCCAATATTCGAGGGATGACAAGCGTTTGCTGCAAATGAGCGCTAAAGAGCCAGGCAGCATGAACGCAAGCTGATTGCGAGCGAACAGCAGATGCAGGCTTGCTGAGGCTGGTGCTGAGCTGCTGAGTCCCAGTATTCTGCATTGGCTGCCGAGGCAACTTCTAAGAGCCCAGACATCGATCTGGCAAGATAATTTCCCATTGATTGCTGCTCTGTTTGGGGGCTGCTGTGGAGCAGTTTATTACCCATACTGCAGCTAGGGAGCCAGCCCAATAATGGGCGCAGTGTGTCCGCGCAACTGCTGGTACTTCATCATCGGCCCCACCTGCCCCTCCCCCCCCCAGCCTGCAGTTCACACGTAGGAACTCCAGCCTCCCTTTAAAGCTCCCCACACATACAAGGACAACAGAGTGTCAAACAATGGCACTCTGAAACCAGCTCAGCATATGCAGGAGGGTGGACGGGTGTGTGTGCGTGTGCGTCAGTGTGTGTTTGTCTTTTTTGCATATGAAGATTAAAGCACTTGCTCGTGTAGAGATGTCGATAAAATCAAACGATCCATAATTAAAGATGTCACAGTCGTATAAACGAGGAATGGAAATGTAGTGCTATGAATAAAATGCACTCAGTGTATAACGACTGAATAATCTACGCCCCATCCCCACCCCCAACGAATATGCATCCTCACACTCTAACACTTAATTAAGGTGTCAAAGAAGTGACAAATTCTTTTTTTTTTTTTAATCCAAGTTGGCACGGACATTTGATCTGTAAACCATTAGGCTAAACATGTAACCGGGTTAGGTAACCAAAAGAAATGTTGTCTCAAGCTCTAATTGCTTTTTGTTTAACATCATCGCTCGTAAATGACTATGCGACCGTTCAAAATGAGTGCGAAAAAGAAGTTGCGCTGAGATCTTCAAGCATATCAAAGTATTTAGAGAAGAAATATGTGCACCATCAGGTAAAACAAACCTTAAAAATCTCAGTACTTTTAAACAAAAGGTACTGAAGACCAGGGCCTGTGTTAGCAAGTCCCTGACTTAGCCAGTATCTTTCACCCATATGGAGACAAAGAGTTTCTATTAAGAGCAACGCCAAAGAAATTACAGAAACCTAGCATGTTCTTTTGATTATTTATGAGTGTAGACAAGAGTGTTTTCTCCAGAGAAGTGTTGGCGCAGTGTTTTATGCCAAGACTTTAGCATAAACTAGCACAAAGCTTAGAATTAGGCAACGCTAATTGCAGTAGTTAGATAGGTAACTAGGATAGCTCCCTATTAAGGGTGTAACAATGTCAATATGTATCAGAAACCTCATCTGAAATTTCCCAAGGGGCTCCCATTTGCTATTTTCTGTGAAAACCTCTGTCAATAACCAAAACTAGCCGTCTTGGTGCATCCTATCAGAGTCGAGTGGACGGGGATGGGCGGGGCTTATGTTATGGACACACCCACGCTCAAATAACTGGAGGTTTTCTGAAGGGACTTAAATTCTAGGGGTTGCGATTCTTTTTTACTTTTATTTATCCGAGTCAAATCAACCTGTATAATAAATCATTTTTAAAACTCCTCATAAACCTTACATGCGATTGGTAACACAGGTACAACGTTAACTTTAGCTTTGTTAATGGGACAAATATTCAGACTGTCCTTCCATGGTTGACCCGCCCATGATTACGCCACGACAAACAGTATTTATTCACCCAGATCTCTACCAGAGAGCATAAAAGTAAGGCGTGTCCGAGCGTCCAAATGCCATTCACACTGCCCTTTAACGTTTTACAAATAGTATCACAGCATACGGCCAATTCTGTGTCATAATAGTAAAAACATTCACAGTATGGAACCATAAATTCTGTCACTGTGGTACACTGTGAAACCTTAACACTCCTCTCCGTAACTCAAGCATACGTTCACAATTTAAAGGAGCACTTGAATTCACACGAAAAGAGAGATTTCTTCCATATGTCTATGACAGACTTCAGAGTCATGCTATAAGGTTTTGCTGGGATAAGATCCAATAGCTGTGCTCAAGGGGAGAACAGTCCCCAGTTTTTATTACATTGTCACATCGTGTCAGTTTGCAAAAAGGCAGTTCTGGCAGACATGAGCAGTGAAGGACAGAGGAAGGAGAGAGACACTCAGGCACACACAGTCTGAGGCAGTAATACACCCAGACAGCTGGAGCCCCATGATTAGGTTTGAGTGGTATTAGCCATGTTAATGAGTTAAGTTGGGCTTGAACAAATGACTGGGAATTATAACGTAATAAGAACACAGA